TGCCACGGTAGAGCAGCCAGCCCGAGGGGCAGCAGTCTGGAGACAGCAGCACAGCTCAGGTGCTGGCCACCTGCAGAGGTGGGCCCCACAGCCCTCAGGCACAGTCCCCTCCCCACTGCACTGTGCCCATACCTGCATTCAGGCAGACACGCAGGCTGCTCGCTGCTCGCTGGATGGCACTGAGCTTCCCCTGCACATCCTGTAGCTCCTTCTGGGTCGCGTTCAGGGCCCCTGAGACACGCAGCAGCTCGGCATCCTGCCTGGCCAGCTCCTGCTGACTGCGGTGGGCCTCCTGCCATGCTTGCTGCAGCTCTTCTTGCACCCATGCCAGCTCCTGCTGTTTCTGCCTCAGGCTCTGCTTCCACACCTGTGCCTCCTGCGAGAAGTGGCCGCGCTCAGTGGCCTGCTCCATGGATATGTTCTGCAGCTGGTGGTTCACCTGCCAGTCTGTGGATGGGACAAGGTGAGCTGGAGCACGGGGATGGGGCAGCCTGAGTAGGGGGCGTGGGTCATGGCCGGGTGTGGGGCAGGCAGGGCAACCAGAGGGGAGTCAAAGGGGGTGCAGGCAATGGGAATTCAGTTGGGCAGTCATGAGAATTGATGGGATATAACGGGAAGGCAGTGGGAAGCAATGGGAAGTCAACTAGAAAGCAATGGGTGGCAGTAGAAATCAATGATCGACAAAGGTAAGGCAGGAGGAAAGAGTAGGATATCAATGGGAGTGCACTGGGATTCAATGACAATAAATGGGAGGTGGTGGAAGGCAGTGGGAGGGAGTGAGAGAAAGTCGGTAAGAATGTGGTGGGAATCAACAAGAAACAATAGAAGGCAGGGAGAAGCCAACAGAGGTTGACATAAGGCACTGGGAGATACTCGGAAGCAAACTTGAAGGCAATGGGAGGTGATGGTAAATAATAAAAGATGGTGGAAATCAGTACGAGGCAATGGGTAGGTAATGGGAAATGAAGTGGAAGGGAATGGCAAGCAATAGAAAACAAAGGACTTAAATAGAAAGAAATGAGAAGTTAATGGAAAGGCAAAGGGGGGCAATAGGAAACAATGGGAGCTAATAAGAGGCAGTAGGAAGGACACAGAAGAGAACTGGAAGGTAGAGGATACTGATTTAGCAATTGGCAAGCAATGGGAAGCAATGGAAACCAGTGGAACATAATGGGAAGGTAATGGTATGCAATGGGAAACAATGAGAAGTCTATGGGAAGGCAAAGTCAATGGGAGTCCGTGCGAAGAACTAGGAGGCAACTGAAAAATTATGGCAACCAATGGAAGGCAACGGAAATTCATAGGAGGTAAAAGGGAAGGAGGAAAAGGGAGGTAGAAGAAAGAAGTGAGAGGCAATGGGAATGAATGGAATGCAACAGACAGTGATGGGAGACAATGGGATGTACTGGGAAGCAATACGAAGCAGTGGTAATCCATGGGAGGCTAATGCAGGCAGCACATGGAGTGCAGGCAGTACTGGAAGATGCAGGCAGCACAAGCAGTGCAGGCAGCACAGGGCAGCCAAGTGAGAAGCTGCATCACCCCAGCCCTGAGCTCCTTCTGGCCCCCATCCTGCCTCACCACTCCCTCCCCAGCCATGCCGTCCCCACTCACAGCAGGTCCCCAGGGTCACCAGGGCCACCAACAGCAGCAGGCTGACTGCCAGCAGCCCCACAGGGACACAGCGCCGCCGGGACCAGTGCCCTGCAAGACACACCAGCAGCACGAGTCACTCATGCTGCTGGGGGCAGCGGGGCCCCCTGCCCCATCCCTGTCCCCATCCCTGTCCCCATCCCTGTCCCCATCCCTGTCCCATCCCCGTCCCCCCTCTGGGCACTTACCTGGGCTGTGCTGGGTCCCTTCCCCTGCTGTCCCCGCAGGTGCTGATCCCGGTACAACATTCTCATAGGGGCTGTCTGTGTCGTCCACGCTGGCTGTGGGAGGAAGGTCGGGCAGCGATGGGGTGATGATGTTGGCCATGTGGGGAGGTGTGAGGTCCCCATGGCTCTTACCTGCCTCCAGCACCTGGCTGGTTGTGCCGTGGCCCCCTGATCCCTTGGCAAATCTCAGGTCAGCGTAGAGCACGCTCTGGGCCATGGGGCTGCTGGTGGCTCTGCCCCAGATAGGAACAGGTTAGCGACTCTGACTTCAGTAAGATGGTAACTTATGATCATGTGTAGGGTGGGGAAAGTTCTTGATTTACAGGAAAGCAGAAGTAAATGACTGATTTGCAAAATGTGGTTTCCTTTCCAGTGCTGATCTTGTGCAGAGAGCAGAAGCACTGCTCTGTCCTGCACAGCACTCTCTGCCTTGTTCAGCATCACTTCATAGAATCTTAGAAAGGAGAATTGCTCAGACTGGAAGGGAGGTCAGATTCTTTTCCCTCTGGAGGGTGGGGATGAGCAAAGCACTGTGATGCACTGAGTTGCCTGTGGAGTTAAACCACACCACCATTGTGCGGCACCAGGAGCCCTACAGCCCTGGTCACAGAGGGACCCTGCTTTCCCCTATGTTCTTTTCCCCATTCCACCACCAGTTCCACGTTCAGGTAGCAGGCAGTGTGGGGAGCACCCAGGAATGACCTTGCTGAGCTGCTGGTCTGCTCCCACATGGGGAGGATGGACGCAAGAGCATAAGAGCATCTGCCCCAGCCCACACAGGAGTTGTTCCATGTCTCACCAGGCCATGGGGACACTTGGACACATGCTAGCTCTGAACCCCAACCCTAAACCCCAACGCCAGCCACAGTGTGAGCATCAAAGTTTATTAGCAACGTACAATAAACAAAGGGAGGGATGAAGAGCTGTGAGTACCGAGTCAGTGCCCTGGGTGCCTGGCAGGCAGGGGTGGGTGCTGGGCACTGACTGTCCCCATGGTCATCACGGCCTTGCACAGGTATAGGTGGTGTTTCCCCAGAGGAAAGCAGGTGGTGAGGACTGCAGCCACTGCAGGTTGACAGCACTTTTCTCGCATACCCAGCCGTGGGCTTCCCTACAGTCACCACCAGACAGCCCTGATCCTGACACTCTGCCACAGGCCAGGAAGGAGTTGGTGGAGCGTTGGAGTCGGAAAAGCCTGTGTGGAGGGAGTGGGATGAGATAAAAAGAATGGGAGGGAGGGGGCTGAGCCAGGGAGCACATTCCTGCCTGCAGGCTGGCTGTCCCCCCCATTACCTCTCCAACCTTTTGCAGCACTCACCTCTTCAGCACGGTGCCATCTAGCCACTTCCATTCAAACCCAGAAAGGCTCCGCTTCAGGCCCACGTGAAAGACATCCATATGGGACACGTGTGTCAGGAAAGCCTGCACAGGAGGAGATAGGCATGAATTCCTCAGGGACACCCGGCTGCAGCCACTTGGCTCTGGCACAGCATCCAGATCCCAGCTGGATTTTAGGCACATGGGCAGAGACAGCACTGGAAGACCACTAGGGGGACGCTGATGTCATCCAGTGACCATGGTGAGGTTGGAGCAGCCAGGACCCAGGTACTCACCAGTGTGCTGTTGGCTTGGATGATAGCCAGCTGTGCTCCCCTGGAGCAACAGTCCTCCTTGCTCTGCTCCCAGCTCCTTTTGGCTGAGGAGAAGTAATAGCAGCGCCCTGCATGCGACAGCCAGCCAGCTGGGCAGAACTGGCAGCTCCCTGTATACAAACATAGCCTGCAGTGGGTGGCACTGAAGTGTCAGGAGACAGAGAGGGTGCCACCAACCCTGCAGAGAGGACCTCACACTTGCCTTTCTCCTACCTTGCAAAGCCTGTAGCCCAGAGATAAGGTTCTCCATGCACTGGGGACCATGGCAGCAGCTCGCCTGTTGAGCTAAATCTGCAAAAGAGGAGAGAGAACAGTAGCATCTCCAATTTTTGTTGACATGCCTTCCAAGCTGGTCAACACTGCTGCAGCTGGAAACAGGTCACACCTTCTGCCTTTTGGTTTCAGCATCACATCCCGTCTTCATACCACCACCAGGTGACAGAGCAAGATGTCCTGGTGTCATCCCCAATTCCACATTTTCCCATACCCTTCTGCCTTTCTCTCCAGCAAATGAAAAAGGTTTACCTTCATCTTTTTGCTCCAAAGCCCACAAGCCTGCACTCCCTCTGCCCCCATCGAGGAAGACACACAGAGCAAGTAGGAGGTGCACACAGAACCATGCTGCCAACCACGACTCCAAGCCCCTGGGCAGGGAAGGGGACACAGGAGCACTTACAGTGGAAGCTCAATCCAACGAGGATGATTTGTGCCAGTAAGAGCAGTAGCGACAGGGCTCCAAGGCCAAGGGCTGCCCAGTGCCAGGACATCCGCGCTGTCTGCACAGGGGCTGAAAGAGGGAATGCCACTTGGGACTGAGTGGCAAGGATGGGGAACCCCCCCTAATGCACCCTAATATCTGTGCACTGCAGGCAGAGGCCTCCCTCATGCTCTGTCCGCAAAGGATGACAGAGTGTTGACATGAAACGAAGACATGGCACAGGGAAGGCAGCAGAGCAGGTGCCTACATGCACTGTGCCATGCAGCAGGCTGCAGCAGCGTGCAGCCCCCCAACTCCACCAGCAAGCAGTCTGCAATGGGGCAAAAGGGTCTGCAGGAGAGGGGAGCAGCAGGGAGGGGTGCGGGTGCTGCTGGCAAGAAGGATGGAGAGCAGTGTGCCCTTACCTGGGGCAGGGGGCAGGCGCAGCTCAGCATACATGACATTCTCTTCCATCTTTCCCTCTTTCTCTTGCTGTGCACCCCACGGCTATAGGGGGGAGCAGCAACCCCCTTCCCCAGCCTCCCTCTGTGGCAGCCGAGTGTGACACGAAATGGAAAGTGTCACTTCCTGGTGAAGTCCCCGGAGACACCAGCTGGGTGACAGCCCCAGGGGGTGCAGGCTGGCACGGTGGGACAAAGGAACCCCGTGCCCACAGAGCCGACTGAGAGGGCTGGGGATGTGAAATATTCTCAAGGCTGCTTTGCCTGCTCTGGGAAGCGAGGGGAACCTCTGGGAGCAGGACACGAGGTCTCTCCCGAGCAGCAGGGTGGTGGGGGGGTGTGCAGAAGTGGTTTCTGCCACCTCTTTTGCATGGGGCTGCAGCTGCATCTCAGCCCTGGAAAGCCGGGGGATGGGGTGCTCCTTTCCCTCCCCCACATCTTGAGGGCTGCCCCGACGGGCATCCCCGCGGTGTCCTGGGTCTGAGCTCCCCAGCACGGTCGGGGCTGAATGAAGCTGCTGGGGCTACTGTTTAACTGTTAGAGTGAGGGTTAGAATTAGGGTTTTGCCAGTTCCTTCTCGGAGCCGCGATCCCTGCCGGCGCGGAGATCAGTGGGGGATGGATGCTCGAGGGATGCGCGCGCCCCGCCGCGCCAGGACTACGTTTCCCAGCGGCTCCTCCCCGGGCTGCACATGCTCCTTGCTGCTCCCGGCGTCTCCCGGCAGCTCCCGGTGCAATTCCCAGTGTGGCTCCCGCTGGACCCAGGTGCGGCTCCCGGTGCGGCTCCCGCCGCCATCCCCGGTGCGTGGTCCCCGGTGGGTCCCATCCCCAGCGTGGCTCCCGGTGCAGCCCCCCGCTGACCGGGGCCTCCCCCCGCGCCATGCCCCGGGGGCGAGCCTGGACGCAGGCGGAGGTCGGCAGCCTGCTGGCGCTGGTGGGGGGCTCGGGGGAGGCCGCCCTACTGATGGCCTCCACCTCTCGGCCCAACGAGGCTCTGTGGCAGCAGATCTCCCGCGGGCTGGCGGCGGCCGGCTACAGCCGTAGCGTGGCCCAGTGCCGCTCCAAGTGGAAGGCACTTAAGCAAGCTTTCCACTCGGAGCGGGAGACGCGACGCAGAGCCGGACTCCACTCTCCCCGTCTGCCTCCGCACTACCGAGCCATGAAGAGCATCTGGAAGGCTGCCGGGCGACCGGTCTTCCGCGAGCGGCGGCTGCTGGGTGGGTGCTGGGGCTGTGGGGAGGATGGGTGCACAGCCAGTGTAGAGCTGGAGCTTTTTCTCTTCTTCCAGACCTGGGGAAGCTGCCTCCCAGGAGACGCAGATCGGTCCCTGCCACCTACTCTCCATCCTCACCAGTACCACCAGGTACCTAGAATGGGGCTGTGGGGCTGTGGGAACTCTCAGTTCCTGTTTGCTGAAACTCCTTTCCACAGATTCCCAGGGCATGCTGCTGTCTCCGCTGCTGTGGCATGTGAAGGATGAGCCAGAGAGCTGTAAGTACCACTCTGCTCCATCACACCGGGCTGCACGGCCACGGCTCCAGCCCATGCCCATGCCAGCATGATGGGAAGAGGGGTTTTAGGGGTGCTCCCAGGATGGACCTGTCGGTAGGGATGTGCATGGATGGAAGTGTTGGGAACAGCCCCAGAGCATGAGGATGTGGGGCACAAGGAGTTCCTGAGCTCTGACCCAGCCTCGGGACTGCTGGCTGCTCATGCAGCTGGAAGGAATGTGGTCCTGCTGCAGCCCAGGGAGCTCTTGCAGCTGTGCAGCAATCCAGAGTGTGCAGCTCCCTGCCTTTAGCTGCAGAAACAACACAAAACTTCAGAGGAGATAGGACTGAGAGTGAGGGCCAGAGCTGGGAGCATCTCCACCTGCATGCAGCCTGAAGGGTGCTCACAGGGATCAGCACTGAGGTGATGCAGCCTGCATCCCTGGTTTGTGTGGGCAGGTGGAGGCAGCAGCTGCTGTTCCCTGAGACAGCAGCCATTGGGGTGAAACAGCTTCCTCCAAACAGGAGCCCCAGCTGCTTTGTCCCCAGGCCTCTACTAACAGGGGGGAGTGAACCCCTGCACCCCAGCCAGCATCCGCACTGGGTAATTACGTTGTCTCCCTAAATTCCCCCTGCAGTTTCAAGTGGATGTGGGATTCTCCTTCACTTCCAGTCCTAATCTGTTGCGTAGCTTGGCTGTGCACCGCTGCGCGGTTGCTGCCTTCTAGCCCAGAGGTGGCTGCATTGCAGTGGTGGGTGAGTGAATCCTGCTTTTGTTTCTAGCTCATGAGACACTTTGAGGCCCCACAGGGTGCTGGGGAGCTGTGGCTAGGGCACGCCGGGCTGGCCGTGCAGCAGGGCAGATCCCAGGCTGGTGCTGTTTCCAGCAGGTCCCAACAGACCCTGCGTCTCCTCTCTGCTCTCTCTCTGCAGCCTGCGGGGAGCATATCGCTGGAGCAGTGCCTGACCCCACATCTGTCCCAAGTAAGGTTTCCCCTGCCCCGGTTCCCCCTCTCATCCCTGCCAGCAGGCTCTGATGCAGTTCTTATTGCAGACACCACTCACTGCATCCCTCTCCTTCCCATCCTGGGTGAGTACTGTGCCCTGGCCACTGAGCTCAGGCATCCTGGAGAGAGAAACAGCCCTTGGTGACACTTTGCATCTGCTCTCTGCAGGCAGCCAGACTGTCCTGAAACAGGAAAGTGCTGAGCAAAAGGCAGGTAAGAACCTGTGCCCTCTGCTCTATGCTAAGCTGGAGCAGGGATCTGAGCCCTGGCAGCTGGGTCTGAGCAGTGGACTCAGTGACCCCACAGTCCCACTGCGACCTCCATGCCAATCTCTGGTGCAGGTTTCCCCATTGAAACATCCCTAGGGATGGGAGGAGGAAACATTGTGCTGCCAGTGCCCACTGCAGTCCCCAGCTCTCCCAGACCCTGCGAGCAGACAGCAGCCAGTGAGGATGTGCCGGACACCAGCCTGCAAGGTAAGTCATGCCCGCAGACCCCTGTGGATGCACAGTGAGGCCGGGCTGCCCCTGACCCCCTTCTCACTGCAGGCTGTGGTGTGGCTGGCCTGCTGCAGAGTGTGCAGCAGCTGCTGGTCCAGATTCTGCAGACGTCGCGACAGCAGCAGGCGCTGCTGGAGAGCCTTGCCAGCGACACCGTCTCCCACCTCCACCTCCTCTCACACAGCCTGGTGCAGGTGGGCGAGACCTTGCACCAGCTGTTGGTCCGGCCACAAGCCCCCCCCAGCCACGGTGCTGCACACATTCCCCTTTTTGGGGGCAGCCCCCCAGTGCCACTGCTCTCTGGGCTGCCTTATGCTTCCCCGGATCCCAAAGAGGAGTGCCAGGCATCTCTTGGCTCTGGCTGCACCCTGCCGTGAGCGTGCTTGTGGCACAAATCTTTATAACAGGAGCTCTGGGGATTTTAGATGTTTATAGAAGATACAGATTTTAGTAACATTAAAAATAGCTTTTGTATCAGCAGTGCCAATTGACCAATTATTTCCCCCCATACTCAAGGTTTCGAGTTGAGCGGAAGGGGAACTGCACTATTTAAAGCCTCCCAGAAGCTCCCCTGGGCCGATGCGCACTCATGGGCGGAACAGGGATGGTGCCACTGTCACCTCTCCAACACCTGGCTCCCAGCCCAGCGGGGGCGAGCCGTGCTGGGGAAGTCCATCACCTCTAGTGGCACTCTTCCCTGTGTCACATGCAGTGGTTCCGTGACACTGCCAAGCTGGTGGGGATACTCTCAAGCTCTGCTCTGTGCTCTGGTCTCTTTCAGCAGAGGCTGCAGCCACTACCTCTAGGCCCAGGGCACAGACGCACACAGGCTCACCCAGCGTGGAGAGGGGACATCTCCTGGCAGGAGGTGACATGTGATGTGGGAGTGATGGGAGGCTGGGGGCAGTGAGAATGCAGTGAAACGCAGCGTAGTCTAATGAACTTAAATGAAATGAAATGAAAAAAAAAAAAAAAATCCAAAGCAATGCAAGGCAGTGCAGTGCAACACAATGAAGCGCAATCATAACCCTAACCCAAATGCAATACAATGCAATGACATGCAATGCAGTGCAATGCAGTGCAACCCTAACCGTAATTCTAGCACTAAACCTAGGATTTAGAGGGGTGCTGTGGGGCTGCAGAGGGCTGGAGATGCAGCGAGGCTGCAGATAGGAAGTGCAGAGAATGCAGCAGGTTGCAAAGAGGCTGCAGTGTTGGGGCACAATGAGCACTGCACTGGGGTTCAGCGCTGTGCAGTGAGGTCGCATTGGGTGCAGTGAGGCTGCACTGAACTGCCGTGGGATGCTGCAGTGATCCAGCGGAGCGCAGCACCGAGCAGCACTGGGCGGCAGCAGGCGGGTGTCCCGGGCTGTGCAGGGCCGGAGTGACAGCTCAGCAGCCAATAGGAGATCAGGAAGGAATAAAGGAGGCGGGGCCATGCAGGCGTCCACCTCACTTGCAGAGGGGGCGGAGCCAATTCTGTGCAGCCAATCAGGAGGCTGGATGCACGCGGGGGTGGATCTCTGATGACGTCAAGGGAGGGGGATTCCCCCAGCGGGGCAGCCCCCCCACCCCCACCCGACACCATAATTGGGATACAAGGAGCGGGCCAGAAGTGTTATTTTCGTGCCCAAAGCCCTAACTCACCTAACTCATCCTATCCCTGCTGCATGAGATCCTGCACTGCAGCCCTCACTCTGTTCGTTTGCCTGGACACTGTGGGCTGCGGGCAGTGGGACGTGCTGGGAAGATGGGATAGGATGAGAAGGGCATGGAGAGGTGAGATGGGCACCCAGAGCCAGCTCAACCCATCCTTAATCACTTTTCTTCCACAAAAGACAGGTCGTGCTTACAGCTAGAAGCCACTCCATCCTGCAGCAGCAGGGAGAGCTGCAAATTGTTCCATCTACCTTTCATGCACCAACTGCAACAGCATTGCCTCTGGGCCAGGAGATGCCTCCCAGCTGCTGGGGTACTGGCACACAGCTGCCATGCTTTGGGACCTCATTCCGGTCTGCTGAGCCCTGCAGGGAGCCTGCAGTGTGTCATCCTCTCAAAGGAGAATGCCATCATCAGTTAATAAGAACAGAAATTCCCACAGGCTGGTCCAGCGCAGTGCTGGCAGGAGATTTGCTGACTCCTGGAGCAACATTCTATGTGGGGCTGGGGGTTGTCGTGCTGTGCATGGTGATGCAGTGACATCTGTGTCCTCAAGTGACCCTGCTCCACGCCGCATCCTTCAGCACGTCCCATGGTGATGTGAAGGCAGGCACAGTGACAGCACTACACTCAGTCCCACCATGCCCTCTGAGGTGCCCTCATCCCTCCCCCCTTTTGTCCTGTCAGAATGTCAGTGGGGATTGGCAGAGCTTGGCAGATTTGATGTGCTGGAGCAGCACATGACTCGGTGCTGGAAACCAGACTGGAAATGTCTCAATAGCATTTGTTAAGAGTTGGTTTTGGTTCAACCCAAATGCTCTCTTTAGAAATGCAATGTCTTGGGTTTTAGCCCTGGAGTTGATGAAACATCTTTATATGAAGTAAGAATGAACAGCAGTATTTCCCTTGGTGCAGACACACTTAGGCTCACACAGAAAGATTCACTGTGATTTCTCTAACACAGCTTCCGCTGAGAGTGCTGCTCATAATACCCAACAACCCATTGTTTAGCACTTGCCTTTCTCAAAGGAAATCTTAGCGGTGATATTTGAGCAAAGAGGTTTTTTTATGAGAAAACTTTAATCTGAAATCCATAAAGAGAACAGTGGCTTTGCACCCTATGTAAAATGTTCTAGACTTCCGTTGCCATCATTTTTTCTTCCTCTGCAGGCTTGCTTCTTCAGGCAAATTCATCTGGGACTGCACATGGTGCAGCAGTTTGACTTCTGTTGCTGAAAGGCTGATTCCACATGAGAGTACTGCCCTCATCCCCTGCAGTGGTAGCTGTGCCCAAGCTCTGGCTGTGCCCACAGCAGGGTTTACATCAGCTGTGGGATGTGGTGTGATGGGATCACAGGCACAGCAGTGGGGACATGCTGCCTCCAGCTCTAGGGCTTTGTGGTGCTGAACCCCTACCCAGCCCATATGAACTGCCCTTGTGATATCAGCACAGAGAGGCTGTCAGCCCAAGGGAACCAAGCTGAGTGTCACTGAGGTTGTCTGGATACCATGTGATGGGAACACTGCTCCAGAAATGGCCTGGGGAGGGGGAAGAGGGGACTTCTTGTGGCTTCCAATGGCCCAGATTAAATGCTGATTAGAAACTCAGTCAACAGCCACGTTTTTTTGTAAATAAGTTCCTGGCCCTATATAGAACCTGGCTTGTGTAACACATGACTTTCTGCCTGGGTAGCACCTCCTCGTGGTACTTTATGACCACAAAAGACTTCCTTGCAAGCACTCCCTGTTAACGCTGTGCATGCATAGTATGAGATGTTGATACATAACAATGTCAGCTTCTTATCAATCTCAGGTTGACAAGCTTAATTCCTGGATTTTAGTGACCACTGCCATCTTGCTGTCAGGGAACACAAGGGCAAGGAGTGAAGAGGAAGAGATGCTGCCTATGCTCACACAGCTGCTGCAGGGCTCAGTGATTCAGGCCAGGCGCATTAAAGTTGCACAGTGCAGGCTGCAGCAGGGTGAGCCCCGTTGGGAGGGCAGGCAGCAGGCACAACATCCCACAGTGTGATTTAGGGCCAGGAAGAGACTATGGGGTTTTAGGGATGCTCATTTCCAAGCAGGGAATGCTGGTCCGACTGCAGGGATGGGATGCAGGATGCTGAGCAGTGGTAGTGCTGGCCCCAATGCCACTCCCTTCTGCCTTCCCCCTGCTGCTCCCCCTGTCAGGACAGGCATATGAAGGATCACACTACTCTGGATGTTGTGTCTGTCCTCATGTCACTGGTGGGATTCAGAACTCTCATCCCTCCCCATCAACAGCTGTTCAGGGACCCAGTTGCCATGAGGATGTCAGATGTACCTGGTTGCTATGGGGACACTGTTGCCATGGTGATGCAGTTGCTGTGTCTGGCAGAGGCAGGAATGGAGCACTAGGAAGGCTGTTCCCACTGGAGTCACAGGAATGCCAAAAATCTGAGCAGGGAACAGGCAGAGCCCAGTCTTTACCCTAAGAGCATCTTCATTAGGGACGGAGGTACCTGGGAAGCAGGCGGGGGATGGGGATATCTATCTCCTGACAGGCAGCCAGCAGGACCCAGAGGATGCACTGGGCTGTCACCGAGTTCTGGGATCCTCCCCACTGATGCCTGCCAGTCTCCGCCCCCAGGAGCATGCCTGGCTGCTTGGCCTGGCCCTTAGATGAAAAATGCAGTCGCAGATTTAATTAACTGAGTGCTGAGCTGTCCCGGATTCTGAGAAGTGAATCCAAGAGGAGCTGGAGCGTGGTTCCTTGCAGCTTTCCAAGAGAGCTCCTATGGATAAACCCCACTGAGACACATCTCACCGCATACTTGTTGCAACCTGTTATTGTAGGGCCTATTTAAACTCACCGAGAAGCAGCTTTTGTTTCAGCCCCACAGTGATGGGACGGGGCACAAATGCCATGCAGGACACAGTCCTCTCTGTAAAATTCAAAGAATCTATCATAGAATCATTTGAGTTGGAAGGGACACTTAAGAGACATCTGGTCCAACTGCCCTGAAATGAGCAGGGACAGCTACAACTTTGTGAGGTGCTTAGAGCCCCTCCAGCCGGATCTTGAGTGTCTCCATGTTGGGGTGCAGTATTCAGGACCCCTTGACAGGCAGATGCTTGCACTGGGTGGCAAAAGCACCACACTTGGCATTCTGCATGCATTGCAATGATGCAAGAGCTCAGTACTGTGTCTCTCTGGGAGATGAAGAGACACAATTGGGTTTGGTGAAGTGAGCAACGTTTTTAATTAAAAATTAATCCCCAACCGGCCGCCTGGCTGGACCAGACAGAGCATTTTGCCTGGCAGAGACAGGGATGGAGGATGAGCTCCCGGGTGCCGGACCCCGGGACCCTCGCACAGGCACCAAGGCTCAGCACTGCTTGCTGCTCCCAGAACAGTGGGCCTGGAGCTGCCCCTGTCTGCCCCGCACCCACCAACCCCCAGCCCACTGTGAACCAGGATCCATTCCTGGGCTGCAGCTTGGGGAACGGAAGCAATCTCCTGCAGAAGGGAGAAGGGGCAGGGGGGTCTCCTTCCCTCTGCTCCATCTCACCTCCCACCCCCCTCAGGGTGCCCAGGGCCAGTGTTTTGCCCCCCTCATGTAGCTGGCAGGATCACAGGATGTAGCCCAGTAGGGAGCACAGCTTCTGCCCCACTGCCAACATGACCAAAGGCTATACAGGTGTACATGAGGACACCCTGGCTGGCACACAGGTCTTGGGGACCTGACTGTCATCGTGTCCCCCCCAGAACACCTTTGCCTCAACTCCCCTCAGAGGCTGAGACAGTGTTACTGTAAGCAGATCTGGGGGCCCAGTGCATGCATTGCCCTCTCCCAGCAAGGCTCAGTGCCCTGCAGCTGCCCAGGGCCGATGGCAGTAGCAGGGATGTCACCACTTCAGCACTATAGGGTGGGGACAGTCACATGCAGGGCATCAAGGTGTCACCAGGGGGGCTGAAGGTAGTGGGGACAGGGGCACTCCTGTGCCAGATGGAGTAGCAAGCAATGCCTGCTGACAAGTTCAACCAGGCTGTAATTGTGACACTGGGACAGCTGTGCACCAGCCCGGAGGAGTCCTGCTGTTCCCTGTGTCACCATCCCTGCCTGAGTCCAGTGCACTGGTAGCATCAGCTGGTGCAAATGCTGTTGATGGAGGCCACTCCTGGATCAACGAGCCCCAGCTCCTCCTGTTCATTGACACAGAGCTGGTACCCACAGCCCTTACGGCGGGGCAGCGGCCCCAGGCGCCCGCTGGGCTTGGCGCGGGGTGGCAGCAGGAAGCCCACGCTGCCGGCGATGAGCAGGTGCCAGATACTGTGAATGTAGAAGTAGTTCTCCTCCGTCTCCACGAAGGCATAGAGCAGCACAGCAGCCACCGCAATCAGTGCACCCGGGCACAGGTAGAACGCCCAGCGCTTCCAGGTGGGTGGGTAGCAGTGGCGGCGACGGATGGAGCGAGCCGTCTGCATGGGGACAACAGCACCTCAGGGGTGGCCATGGCCCCTCTGCTACCACACCATGACAAGCCATGTCTCTTGGTGACAAGCTGGGGAGGGCTGAGCATGGGGACAATGGACACAACAGGAAAGGGATGCAATGGGTCCTTACCCAAGCAATGGCCATGATGCCCAAGGCAAAGAGGCTGGGTCCCAGCAGGTTCCATAGCCCATGGCGGTCCATCTGTAGTGCCATGGAAAGCAGCATGGCCCCCAGAAGGTACAGCACCTGTGGAGTGGTGACAGGGACATCAGGCTGGACCTCCACTCCAGGACCCTCCTCACCACCCTCTCTCCACACTCACCTGCTTGACCACGGGCTGCAGCCGGGCCATGGCGATGACAGTGACCCAGACAGACATGAGGGAACCCAGGAAGTCACAGAACTGCAGCACGTCATAGTCCATGATGCAGAACACCACGATGCCTGGCTGGTCACAGGCATGATAAAACTGGGGCCACATAGGGAATGGGGTGAGAGTCATTCCATATTGCCCAACTCCCTGCCCACCATCCTTTCAGTATCTCAACACAAGCTACCCTTTCAGTATCTAGAGGGGAACTGTAAGAAAGAAGGGGACACACTTTTTAGGAGAGTCTGTTGTGACAGGACAAGGAGAAATTATTTTGAACTAACAGAGGGGGGATTTAGATATGGGCTGCCCAAAGAGGTGGTAGATACCCTGTCCTTGGCGACTCTCAATGTCAGGCTCTGAGGACCTGACTGAGCTGTAGATGTCCCTGTTCAATGCAGGGGAGTTGGACCAGTTGACATTTCCAACTCAAATGATCCTACGATTCTATCCCCATCCTGCACTTACAGTGGAGAAGAACATTGTGAAGATGTAGACAGCAGCTTCCAGGAGGTAGTGACTGCGCACAGCAATGGCCACGGGAGGCACAAACATGACATTGCTGAGGCAGAGCAGCAGAGTGGAGAGGAGCTGGAAACCATAGGAGAATGCCTCGGCATTGTCAGTGCAGCCCCAGCCATTCCATCCTGCAAGAGAGGGGAAGCTCCATCCAGTACCCATTGGAGAGCTGGGACAGGATAGGAGGACTGACAGAGAGCCTAGAACAGATCTTACCAGCTTTGCACTCACAGGCTGCATACAAATAATTGTTGGTACGCAGCAGCTTGCACTGCCCATAGATGCCACAGTCGTTGATGCAGGGTGAGAGGTAGGCACGCAGGTAGACTTCAGCTGTCACATTGGTGCAAGGCTCAAACCTGCCCCGTGGGGGAACGAGGGCAAACACCTGAATGTGCATGCACTGGGCATGAGCACAGCCCCCAGATGCACACAAGCCAACAACTGCTTCCCAACTGAGAGCTTCAGAGCAGAGTTGCAGGAGCCCACAGTGCAGTGACATCCAGCTCTGCCAGGACAGGGAAGGCTGGGATACACTGGGATGCTTGGGATGCACTGAAAGATGCCAGGATGCACTTGGATGTGGTAACACATGGCAGGCATGCTGGGATCTTACCCATGCTCTGTGGCACAGAGGGAGCGTAGGCTCAGGTACCAGCTGCCCGTCTGTGGGTAAGGGATGCGCAGGCGGCTCAGGCTGGCCGTGGCGTTGACAGAGAGCAGGAAGCCTGCCAGGGACTCTGCCAGCAGGGAAAGCTGCGGGTGAGCTGGGCAGGGGGCAGGCCAGGCACCCACCCACCCCAGGCAGTCCCTGGCAGGGCATGGGGGGTCAAAACCCATGGCCACAGCAGGGGGACAGGCACAGCCCAACCTACCTGTCTCACAGGTAACCGATGTGTTGTCACCAGATGTCAGTGGGACCTCATGGTTCAAACAGCCAAACACTGTCACATTCTCACCACACAGAGAGCTCTGAGGGCAGAGGGGAGATGGCCCTAAAGCAGCACTGGGAGTGTTCCCTGCTCAGCACAGCACTTGACAGCATCCTAACATATTATCCACGAGCACCCTGGTCATTATCTACTCTTCAAGCATCCTAACCCATGGCCCACCACCCAACAGCTCTCAAATCATAGCCTGTGACCCAAAGGCACCCCTGCCCCAGACCCCAACATGCCCATCTCCTGGCCCAACCACCTCACCACATTGAGCCGCAGCTCCAGGTTGAGCACCCCGCCACTGTCCAGCACCGGCAGGAGGTTGATGACAAAGACGGCGGGACGGTCAGGCGGCACTGACACGTTGGGCCCAAAGAAGATGTAGAAGTGGACGGAGAAGGTGTCGAGCTCGTTGCGCAGCGTGGGGCGGATGGGCCAGCAGCGCTCAGTGGCAGGCATGGTGGAAGAGACGGGGAGCGGGCGCTTGGTGCTGTTGGGGCTGGTGGGAGGGGGGCTGTCCCCCAGCACCATCCCACCCGCAGAACCAAAGGAGTGCGGCATGTTCATGGAGGCGCTGGAGGGCAGGAAGGGCGGCCGGGCCAGGCTGGGGCGGGAGCAGTCTGGGAGCAGAGCCATCAGCCCTGGCACCACGCAGCCCCCAGCCTTCTGCCCTTAGCTCCCACCTGCCCTCCCTATCCCCCAGGTTGGCAATCCCTGCATCCTAGCAAGGGATCTCAGTGTCTCAATACCTCCCAGTATCCCAGAGCATTCCAGTGTCTCAGCACATGACCAGTATCCCACAGCATCCCAGCACCTCCCAGTGTCCCAGTACTTTCCAGCACCTCCTAAAGCCCCAACATCTCCAAACATCTCCCAGTGTCCCAGCATCTCTTAGTGCAACCCAGCATCCCCAGCAAGCTGGATGTCACTCTGTACCCAGATCCCACAGGCAACCCTTGGCATCTCCCACTCAACTCTGTGCCCTATCAAGCTTCCTTGTGTCCCTCACCTGTCAGCTGCACGGTGATCTGGAAGGAGATGGTGCCTGGAGACCCAGGGTGCCTCTCCACCAGCACATAGTACCAGTGCTGCCAGAAAGGCAGGTCCAGTGCCAGATGGCAGGGCACACGCTCCCGGCAGTCTACTGCTGTTGAGTTGTGCAGTGGGGGGGCCTTCGCTCGCATGCGCAGCCAGAGTGGGCAGCCCTCGACCCCGCGGCACCGCAGCACCTCCACCACCACACGTGATGTGTAGCTGGGCACGAACACCCTGCAGGATGCTTGCATCAGCGCAGGTCAGGGGTTGGGTCCCAAGGCTGCCCTTGCTTATCAGATCCTCTCACACTCACTTGTAGAGGCAGGAGCGGTTATGAGGAGCCATGCTCTGCTCAGTGACGTAACCAGGGTACAGCACGGCAATGTTCACCAGGCGCTGCACAATGAGCTGTGGCTGGAAGAGGTACTGGCACTCCTCATAGAGGCCCTGTGCCAGTGGGACAGTCAGCATGGGGACCAGCCACACCGAGCCACTGTCCCACAGACACAGGCCCTGCACTATGGTGATGGGGTAGGCAAACTGTCCTGGTCTCCTCTTCCAAAAGATGCCCAGGACCCCCACCAATTATTCATATGCCCCCCAAGTGCCCTGTATAAGACACCTAGCCAATCCAACTTATGTGTTCCCTCAGCCCTTCACCTTGACAGAGATCTTGCCCTCATCCTTGGGCAGGTGGGCAGCCAGGAACCAGTCTCCAGGGAGGGGGCTGGTGATATTGAACACCCCTGTGGTGCGATTGGGCAAGGTCCAGGTGAGGGTCAGCGCAAAGGAGCCAGGGACAGCCGTGTCACTGGGAAAGTGTGTGTGCAGTGGGTTAATGACGGAAGGAGCCCCTGAGCGGAAATACCTGCAGGAGAGACAGCAATTAACAGCATGGCAGGGGCAGCTCACCCTACAAGCAGGGTGTGTCTCTGCAAGCAAGCTCAGAGCCATCATGGGGAAAACATCAGTAAGATAGGATCTCGGTGAAGACCCTGAGCTTCCCTAAGCAGGTGTTCAAGTAAAACTGCTCATGGATGAGCTGCACAAAGGAATGAAAATTGCAACAAATGAATTATGGGGAGAGAGAGTGGGTGTATGCATCTGCATATGTATGAACATGTTTGTGCATCTACATATATATGTGCATGTTTGTGCAGATAACTGTGCATGTGTGTACCTGAATCCAATGCCTGTGTGCCTGTGTATGCATGATCTGTGCATGCATGCAAGCACATGTCTACATGTGTAACTATGCATGCACAAGCAAGAAGCAGATGGGTGCAAGCAGGCTGCAGGGCACATCCAGGCAGGCAGCAGCAGAAGGCAGGGTCAGGTGGGAAGGGAACAAAGGGGGCAAGCTGCTTACTTACACGGTGATGCTACGGTCTGGGCATTGGTCCCCAAAGGTGCCACCTTGCTCTTTGAAGGTGATGAGATTCCAAACAGCAATGACCGTGTCCTCGGGGATGTGGAAGTGAAAGAGTTCAATGCTGGCAAAGGAGCGGAAGGGACTGAGCTTGCGTGGTGTGCGGGTGAAGTAGTCGGTTACAAAGAGCCCATCTGCAGAAGAGATTCAAGGGACTCTCAGTGTGAGGGGCAGGAGAAGCTGCAACTGAGCCATTTCACTGTGTGGCCAGGGCTGATGTCAGCTGTGCCCACCCTATCCACAGTCTGTACCGTTCAGCAAGAATTATAGAGTGATGCACTTCCTGCACAGCTCCTAAGCTCTCCTGTGTTTGTGGAGGAGGAATGGTGCACATATGTGCTCACATATGCATGTGTGGGCGCTGTCTGCATGCACAGCTAAATGAAGGCGTGCACACCCACACACAAGGGTGTGTGTGGCTGTGTACAGCTCTATGTTTAAGACACCTTCTGCTATTGCATGGCATGTCTCACCATCCAAAAGTCCAGCTGCCTGGGGATTTCAGGAGCTTTAGCAGGAGAAGGAAGATACTTGCTTGGTACAGTGGAAAGAAGGAAGATCTGATCTCCAGACAGGAGCAGTAACTTCACTCTACTATTGTACCACTTCCCCACTGCCAGCCTAAGAGCCTTACTCACCAAGAATAAGATGTAGGTCTCTACAAGCAGCCAACAAACGGGATGCTAGCAGAGAAGCAGATGGGAGCAGGGTTGTGGCCAGGAGGATGTATCCAGCAGAGAAGGGGACAGCTGAGAAGAAAGGCTGCTTTTTACAGTGTCTGGCTGGGAGCATGCGCATGCGCTTGTATGCACGTGTGTTTGTGCTGCGTGTGTGCAGCCCCAGCAGGCTGAACACTGACATGCATCTGCTCCCTTGCCTGGAACAAAGGCAGCTCCCCCTCCCTTCGTTGCCAGCCAACACAAGACGGGCATGAAATTCCCATCTGCATGCAAGAGTACTCAATCACGATTTCCCTGCCTGGCCAGTCCACGGTTCCCCAGGGTACCAAAGCTCCCTGCCAGCTGGGGTCAGTGAACGGGCAGTGGACCTCAAAGAGAAAGAGACAGTGAACATGCTTCCAGAAGATGGCATGGGAGAAGCACGCAGAGCTTCCTGACCCCGTTGCACTTTCCCGAGCCCACTCATCTGAGGCAAAATGAGGGCACTCAGGTGCACAGGGAGAGTCAGGCTGGAGCCCTGCGGCAGTGAGGCCACAATGCAGGCAGAGAAGCTGGAGGATGGAACAGAATTTCCTTTCTACGAAGGAAAGAAAGGAGAAAAAGCAAGAGCAAGTGCGTGCCCCAGGCCAGAAGCCGAAGAGTGGCGACCTCCTCTCCCAGAAGGGTCAGTACCACGGACAGCTCAATCTATGTCGGGCTCAGCACCACGGGCTCTGTGGGTTGGGCTCAGCACCACGGACAGCTGCCTCCAGCGGCTCCATAGGGGCCCATAGTGCTCCTATCCCACAGCTCGGCCCCCTTCCTCTGTGATCCCCCATACACAACAACGCATACCCCTCCGCAGCCCCCGAATGAAGGCAGCTCCCGTGCCCGATAGCACACTCATTTCTTCACGTAGTCACTCCAGTGTCCCCTCACTCACCCTCACTGCACACGCATCCCTCTGCCCCACTTCACAGCCCTCTGTCCTGGTGACCCATTGTATCTGCAGATTCCCGGAGCCCCTGACCATGAGTCTGATCACTCTGGGCGTCGCTCGGCACTTACACCACCTGTGTCCCTCCAGTACGCACAGCTCTGAGCCCCCTACCTACCCTGCTGCACCTGTGCCCCACAGCCTGCTTATCATCAGGCACTACCCCCACACACCTCCACATCTTCATGTCCCATTACGCCAACACCCCATTGCACTCAAATTGCCACCTTCCATCACACATGAATGTGCCCTATTATGTGCACACTTCGTGCCCCATTGCCTATGCATCCTAAAGTCAGTTGCATGGACATCCTACAGGATACACATCTATATGCCCTGCCGCACATTTGTCCTAAATCTCTCTGCACACACATCCTGCGCCCCATTGCACACACTGTCCCATGGCATACGCATCCCACAGCAGGCAGATGCTGCGCCCCACTGCACACGGTATGCGCTCCATTCTCACCCCACTGCGTGCACATCCCATGTCCTCTACGCACCTCCCCCCCCCACGAAGCATCCCACAGCACTCAGATCCCTGACTCCTCGCACATCCCACATCCCTCGGCCACGCGGCACTCACCGGCGGGCGGCGGAGGCAAGAGGAGGAGGAGCGGCACGAGCAGCAGGGGCAGGCGGAGGAGGGGTGGCGGTGGGAGCGGCCGCCCCCGCCCGCCGCCCCGCCGCCCCATGCCACCGCGCCGGCTGCCGTGGGGTGCGCGCCGCCAGCAGCCCCGCCGCGCAGGGACGACCATGACGTCACCCGCCCCGCCCCCTTACCCCGCCCCCACGCGCCTATTGGCGGCTCTGGCTGTCGCTCACAGCCGGCGCCGTCCCGCTTTCTGCTCTCCTTGAGCGCGCTATGCCGCCTGCACACCAGGGGGCGGTGTCGCACTTCGGGGCGTGCTCTTCTCTATGCCCGATCGCTGATTGGTGAGCAGTGCAGAGCGCTCACTCCTACTTCCGGTAGAGTCGGGTCCGCGTGCTTGCCGCTTCCGGTCAGGTTCTGGTCCCGGGTAGCACCTGCACTGCCGAGCTCACGTACCGGGCATCACGATTTCCCCCCTCCTCCTCCGGTATCTCGATGGAGTTCCCGGGAGTGCTTTTCCCTTCTTACTTCGGCTGCGGCCCGCCCAAGGACGAGGGGGGCCCGGCTCCGGCCGCCGGCTGGGGGGAGCGCGGGAAGGTGCTGGAGGCCGGGCCCGGACAGCGACAGGTGAGGAGCAACGGGGGACACGGGAGGGGGCACTGAAGGTACGGGAAGGCAGAGGAGGGGGCGCAGGGGGAGGGGTGGGGGGCACTAGGGGTACGGGAAGGGAGCCCTCACCTCCCCGCCCCCGACCTCTCCCTGCAGGTGCTGCCACCGCTTGTGCCCCTCCGCGGCCACGAGGGCGAGAGCTGGGCGCCGGCCGAGGCCGCGGCAGTGCCGCTGCTGCCACCCAATATGGGTGAGGGTCAGAGGGTGCGTGGGGGCCGAGAATGGGGCTGCCACCTGGTGTCAGGACAGCCTTGGCAGCCGCCCTCCCCACCGCCCCCTGCCCCCCCCGCAGGCTGCTGGGTCCCCACTGTCACCCCTCGGGATATCCTCTACCACGGTATCCTGCACAGAAAGCTGCGGACTGGGAGGTCTGGGGCTGCGTTGGACTTTGCCAAGCAGGTACAGGCTCGGGTGCTGCTGAGGAGCCAGGGCTGGGCTCCCCTGTGACATCCCTGCACATCCCCACACTGCTGTCCCCACACAGCTGGGGCACTTCTTTGTGGATCACCCTGAGGACGCCTTCAGCTCCCTAGGGCGACTGCTGCACAAGAACTTCCACCTGGGAGACTCCAGGCTCAGGGTCAGTGCTCTTGGTGAAGCTGAGGGGGACACCGGTGTACCCCCTCCTGTCTGCTCATAGTGGCACTGCTGCTCTCTTCCCTGCAGAAACGCAGTGTCCGGGACACAACCATCCGCATGACATCCCTGGTGGAAAATATCAACCATATGGAAGCCAGGCGGTGAGTGCTGCTGGGTTGGGGGAACTGTGGGCTCCAGCACCTGCTTGACACTGGTTGTCCCCTCACAGTGGCTGCCCTCAGCATCAATTTACCTCCCGCCTGCGCTTGTTCTCTCACCTGTGCCGGGACTGGCTCTTTGAGGTGCCACTGGGGCTGCTGGCCGACTGTGTGCATGAAGAGCTGCTGCTACAGTGGACCAGCCTGCTCTTCGATGACAGTTCCACAGGGGGAGCACTAGCCTGGCTGCCTCCTCAGGATGCAAGCAGTCGCGTGGGACGCCTGGTGTACCCTGGCGGGTTGGCCATGAACCACCTCTGTATCCTTCCATGTGATCTGTGGGAGACTTTGGGGCAGAGGGGCACTGTGTGGCAGTGCCCTTAGCCAGCACTCCAGATTTCCAGGATGTGGTGCTGGAGGAACAACCTCGGGCACGGGGGCTGCCAGTGCAGTTTGAGCTTAATGGGCGCATCTGGCAAGTAGCTGCTACCCGGGTGGATGGGCAAGGTGAGTGAGCCCTGGGACCTATGCACTGCATACAGAGATGGTGGGGTCCCTGCCCTCTCACCTGCCCTCTCTCCTGTCTCCTACTAGACTTTGTCGGCGTTCGCTCTGACTACCACTGTGGTGTTTGGAGGATGCCAGGCAAGACAGGGGCTGCCCCCAGCCCACTGCAGGTCATCCACACTGATGTGCCAGCCTCCTGCCTCACCGTCAGGTGTGTGCAGGGGATACAGAGCTCTGGGGAGGTCCTCAGCCACAGACCTTCCAATGTGATGCCGTATCTCTGCCCCACAGCCCATACCTGTCTGGGGAGCTGTCAGTCTGCACCCAGAGTGGAGCCGTCTATCTATGGAACATTGAGACAGGGTGAGTTGGGGTGCTGCATCCCCAGTATTTGGGGTGGCAGGAGGCAAGGGTGCCCCACAGCAAGGAAGAGCTCTGTCCCTTCCCCACAGGCTGCAGCGTCTCCGCCATGACCCCCAGACCCTGTTTTTCCGGGACCACTCACCCTGGCGCTGGAGTGACTTCACTGCTCACCCACGGGTGCTGAGCTGTGCTGACCGCACTGGCATCCTGTGCCTGGATGCTCGGGTGAGCATGAGAACAGGGGGCAAGGTCAGCTGAGGGGTGTCCTACTGTTCCCCATGATGCTGACAGCACCCTGCTGTGCCACTGCAGGCCCCCACCAGCTGCCACTTCGACTTCTTCAAGGTGGGTGAGGAAGCCAAGTGCGAGCAGGGTGAACGCGTAGTACTGCCCATGTACCTAGGTAGGGCTCATCCCTGCCAGCACCTCGTCGCCACTCAGGTGAGTCCTCCATGGCTGAGAGTCCCCAAACCTCCCAGCCAACTTGTGCAGCTGGTTTGGATGCAGGTGGGGGGAGCCCTGCTGAGCTTTGCCCTCTCCCAGTTTGCCATATACCTGCTGGACGAGCGCTTGCCGCTGGTACCTGTGTTGAAATGGTCACACATGATGAAAGCACCCCCACTGTTTGCTGACATTGTGCCGGGGGAGTCTGGAAGGAGCCATAAAGCGCTGCTGGGCACCTCTCATACTCAGGAACTGCTGCTGCTGCAGTACACAGGTGAGAAACCAGGTAGGGGACACACAAACTCCCCTCATGTCCATGTCCTGGCCTTGCTGCCTCACTAGTTGATTCTTGATATGTCTTATTGATGTCTTATTGCAGGTGGCAGCCAGAAGGCCTGCCAACTTGCAGGGCCACCACAGCAGCTACACAGCATTGCCAGCTGCCTACCTCACCTCCCCACACAGCTCCCACACCAGCACCACCTGCTCCACCAGCGCCTCAGCATCCCCGCAGCTGGTGAGTGGTCCTGGGGTTTGCAGGTCATGCAGGGGCAGCAGCCAGCAGTCAGTGCTGCATTGGGCATGCATCAAAAGGCAACAAGTATCTATCAAGATGAGATACTGATGGCTTAGGAGAAGACGTAGGGACCAAATGGGAAAGAGGAGTGAGTGCTGCACCCAGGGGGAGGTGGAGTAGGGTGTGTGGTGACACTGCCTCATTTGTCCCCATAGGGCTGGCTGCCGTGCAGCATGAGCAGGGCCAGCAAGAGTCCCTTCTGGTGTTCCAGCTCTCCGAGGCAGGTGATGTCTTCTACCAGATGCTGAGGCATGAAGCAGCACTCTCACCTGTTCCTGACCAGGGGGACGAGGCAGAACCAGCTCCCAATCCCAACAAGGAGGATGAGGCAGCAGCACCCCCCAGCTCTCCCATTCTGTTTGGCAGCGAGGAAGAAGAACAGGAAGAGGAAGAAGAGCAGACTTTCTACTTATCCAATCTGGAGGTGATAATCAATGATGAAGAGGAAGAGGAGGAGGGGGTAGTGGCCACGCCAGCAGCCACTGAGGAACCTGAGCCCCAGGCCAGCCCCAAGTCTGTCCCAGATGTGCCCAGCGCACCTGCAGCTCTGCGGTACCGTCGCTGGCTGCGGGCATTGCTGCAGGCATGGATGGGCTCCCCAGCATCCTCCTGCCGATCAGGGCCCCCTACCCTCAGCCAGCGGCGCCTCTTCACCCGCAAGGAGCTGTCAGAGATGGCACCAAGCGTCCTACAGCAGTACCAGCTGCAGCTGCGCCAGGCCATGCGCAAGCGGGGCCGCATCCAGCGCTGGGAGCCAGCCCCAGAACCTCCCGGCCCACCACCCTCCTTGGAACCCAATGCCTTGAGTGCCAGGCTAACAGCAGCATGGAGAGGCGAGTGGGGGGCTGTGGGGCCAGCCGGCAGCACCCTGCAGAGGCAACAAGCACTGCGGGAACGGCGGCGGAGGCAGAAGCGCAGCCGGGCTCACCGCAGCCTTTCGGCCAGCTTCACCTCCTCCATCACCTACCAGTCTGAGCTGTCCGAGCTCAGCGAGGGCGGCACTCCCCGCACCCCTCCGGCCACCCCACGGGAGGTGGCGGTGTCCTCTCCGCCCGGCACCCCACCACCACCCCCCACCGAGATCCTGCTGTCCTCTCAGGAGCTTCGATCCCGCGGCATCCCCAAGGAGCGTCGGCGCACGCTGCGGGACTACCTGTCCGTGTGGGCCGAGGGCCCGCAGGATCCCCCCGAGGCCCCCAGCAGCATCACGGTGCAGCGCTGCATCCCCTCCTCGCAGAGCCAGCTCTCCAGCTCACAGAGCCAGCTCTCCTCCGCCTCGCAACCGCGTCGCAAGCGGCCCCGTATGGGCTTCTGAGCAGCAATAAACGCGGAGCGGCACGGCTCTCGTTGTCAGGATCCTTGGGAGAACCCACGCAGAACGCGTGGAGGTGGCGGCGCGGGCGGGTGTACGCTCGTCGGTGTGTGGGTGAGCGGGCAGCACCGCGCTCGCTTCCGGCGGGGTCCTCGCAGCGCGTGACGCGGTGCCGTCCGTGTCACGCGTGGGGGCGTGGAGGAGCGTGCGGGCCCTTTAAGGTGCGGGAGTGACGGGGTGGGAGCCAATGGGTGCGCGGGGCGGGGGCGGGACCGCTGCGGGCGATGGCGGCGGTGCTGGCGCGCGGGTTGGCGCGCGTCTGGGTGGCGCGGGCGCGCGCCGGGCAGGTGGGCGCGGGTGGGCGGGGGGCGCGGGAACCGCGGGGGCGGGGCCGAGGGCACCGCAGGGGCGCGGGGCGGAAGGGAATGGGAGGAGGGGGGGTCTCGTGGCGGTGCCCGCGCTCCCGTCCGTGCAAAGTCCACGAGTGAGGGAGCGCCTCCCACCGTGCGTCTCGTCTCACTGCGGCTCGTAACCCACGCGTGCGGCCCCGACATCGACTCGTGCCTCCCCACGTCCAGTCCGCACCTCGCACCCCTAGCGCCCCCGCGTGGCCCCAGCGCGCGGTCTCCTTCCCACGCGCACCGTGACATCCCCGCGTGTCTCCAGCGCTGCCGCTGCGCGGCCGGCGGGCAGGACGGAGAAGTGGGCAAGGCGCAGCGGGCGGCCGCCGGGGTGGGGACGGAGCCCACCATCTTCAGCCGGATCATAGATCGCAGCGTGCCGGCCACCATCCTGTACGAGGATGATGAGGTAGGGGTCAGCGGAGCGCACGTCACGCCGTGGGTTGTACCCACGCGTGAGAGCGGGGCTCAGCCTGCCCTCCCTCCCTCAGTGCCTGGTGTTCCGCGACGTGGCTCCGCAGGCGCCCGTCCACTTCCTAGTGATCCCCAAGCGCCCCATCCCTCGGCTGAGCCGCGTGGGTCCGCAGGATGCGCAGGTGAGAGGGGATGGCTGCCGAGGGCAGCAGTGGGGTGAGGGACGCGGGGCTGAGCCCCAGGCTCCGCTCCCACAGCTCCTGGGACACCTGATGGTGGTGGCAGCACGCACGGCGCAGGCAGAGGGGCTGTCTGACGGCTACCGCCTGGGTGAGTCGAGTGTCCCCCCCTGCGTGTCCCCCCACGGTTGACACTCCCCACGCTGATCCTTGCTCCTCTCCCGGTAGTTATCAACGACGGGAAGCACGGTGCCCAGTCGGTGTACCACTTGCACCTCCACGTGCTGGGCGGACGGCAGATGAACTGGCCCCCCGGCTGAAGTTCCCCGCCCTCCCCCAGGTCCCCCCGCAATAAAGTTTCTTGGGGACACGCAGTGGATTTTCTGGCTCTGTTTTGTGGTGACTTCCTCAGGGATGGGAGTTGGTTTTAAGTTCTGACCCATGCTGCACTGTACATCCCAGACCATGCACAGATGTGCAAAACGTTACATTGCACAGAGGAGACCCACTATGCATCCAACACTTGGCAAAATGTTGCATTGCACAGTGCAGGCCATGCACCACCATGCACAGCACATTGCATACATCCACAGCAAGCGTGCATAGGCCACGATGCACAACAGTTACCCTGCTTATCTCAGCCTCTCCTCCCTCCCCCCCCGCACGTGCAAAACACGCGCAGCGCACTCCTGCCGGAGCAGCTCCGGGCGCGGTTCCAGCCCACGGGGACACGTGCAGGGCCGCAACGCGCAGGCGTCCGTGGGCTCCCTGCCCCGCGCCTCCCGCTCCGTCCGTCGCTAAATTTAGCGCGGGGCGGGCGCTGGCGCAGCGCGCAGCCCACCTGGCACCGCAGCCTGGGCCCCCGCCAGCCGCCCGGGGACCGCAGCCGCCGGGGATAATGTGGGGTCTGTTCAGCAGGGTGCTTCTGCTGGGGCCCTGCTGGGGGGCACCGGCGGGTCCATGCTCTCCGCGTCTGCTCGCAGACCCCCGAGGTTCCCGTTAGCAGGAGCTGAGCTGCTGGGCCCCTCCTGTACGACTGGCGGGCAGCAGCAGCACAGCAGCAGGAGGTTGGCGAACGCCAAAAGCACTCCCTAGGTTGGGGGGCTCCCCAAAAATGCACGGGCGCCGAGCCCCGTCTCCGTGCCACGCCGTGGGGAGCGCGGTGGGCGAAGGTCCAGAGCTGTTCTCATTCCTCAGCCAAGGACTATCGCAAATGACGCAAGTTCCCCAAAGAGATCGCGGGGAGGGGGGGTGGAGAAGCGGGGGGGATGTGTCACCGGCACGCCGTGCCCAGATGTGCTCCGGCTCCGGGCCCTTCCACAGGGCTCCGGCACGGACGGTCCCAGCGGCTGCCGCAGCCGCGCTGCCCCCGCCTGGCGCGAGGCCGAGCGCCTGGGGAGGGGCCGCCGCGCTGGGGCAGGGGGTGGGACGTGAGGTCGGCCAGGATAAACAGAGGCCCCAGAGCCGGAGCGCGGTGGCACCGCCGGCGCACACCGCAGAGTGCTGCAATAACAGCCCGGGGCCGCCGCCGCCGTCAAAGGGCCCTTCTTCTGCCCGGCGGGGGGGGAGCGGGGCCGGCGTCCTGCAGGCGCTGAGGGCGGCTCGGCCCTGCCCTGCCTGTCCCGGGCTGTCACTGTGGGGCCGAGCTCGCAGCTGGACGCCGGGCACGAAGGCCCCGCCCGGCCCCGCAGCGCGCACATGGCCAGAGCCCGCGCCCGCGCCGGCCTGGCCACGCCCCCTTTGCCCCAGGCCACGCCCCCTTACCCCTTTCGCTCCGTTTTGCCCCGTTCTCCTCCTGCCCCGCCCCGCGCTCATCCCCGCCAATGGGAAGCGCGCCCGCACGCGGCGCCGCCAATCAGCGCGCGGGAAGCGCGGGCGCGGCGAGCGTTTACCGTCCCCATGGCGATGCGGGACGCGGCCATGCAACACGGAGCGCGGCGGGGGCCCGAGACCCCCCAAGGGTGGGGTCGGGACACCGGGGGGCTCGTGGGGAGGTTATTGGTGTCACGAGCCTTGAGGGTCCCCGGGGTCATTTGGGGGTCCAGAACTCAAGGCACATGGAGGTGGGAGGGTAATAGAAGGTGTGGGGTGGGGGACGCACCATGGGATGCAGCCCAGCTGTTCCTTTGTCCCCACGCAGGGTGGCTCTGACCGGCCACGTCGTTCCCGTGGACCCCGCGGATGGACCCCCGTGCGGAATCGGGCTGCGAGGTGAGGTGCTGCTGCCCGTGGCGTCCTCATGCTGCAGAGACACAGTGGTGACTGTAGCCGAGGAGCCTCAGGAGGTGATGACGACCCCGAATGAAGACTCGCCCGAGGTGGTGGACACAGAAGAGGACCACCACGAGGTGCCGTTGACTCTGAACGAGGAGTCCTCCAAGGTGCTGGTGCCCACAAACAAGGACCTCCCTGAGGTGCCGGCAGAGCAGCTGAGATGCAGTGTGCCACGGGGGACCTGCCTGATCCACAACTGGCAGGAGGAGGTAAACCCCCACCCCAAAATGAGCCCGGGGACCTCCGTGAGTCCCTGCTCCCCATCCTGGGGATGCCCTTGAGTTTTGCAGGATGGGGAAGGAGCCTGACAGCGTCCACCCTGAGGCTCAACTGAGCACAGGCAGGGAGGTCTGGGGAGAGGCTGCACTGGAGCAAGGGTGCGTGTTCCAGAAGCATCCATTTAGGCAAAAATTAGAGGGAGGACTCCCAAAATACTCACTGGCTGTCCCTAGACCTCTTCATCCATAGGGCTGAGGTTTCCTCCACAAGGAGCTGTGAGCACTCTGGGACAGTGACACCATGATGTGCCCCACACTGTGTCCCCAGAGAGCCACCAACCACCTGGACAATGTGGTACCACTGGAGTTGGGCAGCGAGGGCTTCATCTACCGGCACGGTCACCGTGGGCTGCTGGCACCCCTGCACCCACCCATCTCATTGCCCTGCAGCACCACCAAGGATGCCTTCCGCCCGCCCCACAGAATCCCACTGCTGGCACAAGGTGCAGTCTCAAAAAAAGAGGTAGAGAGGTTGTGGGGCAGAGAAGGAAGACATGATGTTGAGGATGCTGGCACCCCACAGGGCAGCGGGAAGCCATGCTGGAGAGGATGCTGTACCAGAAGTACCGGTGAGCCTGTGGGACCCCAAGAGGTCTTCAGGAACTCCAACATTGGGCATGGGGAGAGGGGATCTGGGCACCCCACACCCTCCCCCTGCCCTGCAGGCAGGAGCTGATGAAGGAGATCAACCCACCACCTGGTCCCATGGAGACTCTCTCCACCACACACCGGGATTATCAGGCAGGGGGCTTCCAGCCCACACCCCCACTCACCACCCAGGTACTGCCTGCCTCATGCATCCCAAAGAGGGGGTCTTCACACTACCCCCCAGCTCATAGGGGATTTCCCCTTTTTCTTCTGCAGCCCCACAACTACCACATGGAGCAGCCCCGCAGCTTCTGGCTGGAGCAAGCCCACAGTGTGCCTGTGAGTACCCTCACTCTGCCCCACCACCTTGCTGTACCCTGCTCACAAGGGTCTCCATATCTCTCCCCTCCAGGGTGTCACCTGCATCCGCACTGGGGACAGTCCCTTCCGTAGAAACGCCGCCTTCTCCACCCCCATCACCGAGTACCTGGAGCAGCCCCTGCCCTACGAGGCAGCTACCCGCCGGCTGCAGCCCAGCATGCAATAAAGAGCAGGGGCCAGCCCTGCTGCTGGCACCCTGGTGTTCTCCAGGATGCCTCCAGAGCAGGCTGTGGGGACCCCAAATCCCAATGCAAAGGGGACTTTCCGTGAGGCAGCACACCACAAAATGTGGCACATCCATAGTGTCCGCAGTGGATGTCACATATCCCCATCCCTATTCCCAGACAGATGACACAACCCCATCCTTATTCCCAGGTGCTTGACTTGCATCCCCATCCCCAGGTGGATGATGTGTCCCCCATCCCTGTCCCCAAGAGGATGACATGCAACCCCATCCTTATATCCCTGATGAGTGACAAGTGTCCCCATCTCTGTCCTCAGCCCCAGGTGGATGATATGTGTCCCCATTCCCAGACTAGTGACACACATCCCCATCCCCATCCCCACATGGGTGACGTCTCCTTCCCCATCCCTGTCCACATGTGGGTGATGTGTCTCCATCCCCATCCTTACCCCTGCTGGGTGACATGTCCCCATCCCCAGCTGTCTCAGGGCTGCAATTCTGGCCCCACACCCTGCCCTCTAAGGCCCACACCTCACTGGGACAAAGCAAAGCACAGGAGCTGGGAACAGCAGGACTGAGGGCAATTTGTATTTCAACAAAATAGTCTGTGCGCACGCTTATATTTACACCTGGGAAGGGGATATTTACAGGGTTCTGGAGTGTGGGGGGGCTATATACATAGGGGAGTGTGGAGAGGAGCAGCAAAGTCTAAGCCTGTCCCACTCCTTTCCTCTGTTTGGGAAAGGGGTGAGACAGGTGCAGGGGGAGCTGAGTACTGAAAAGAGAAGGCAAAGTGCCCTGCGGGGCAGCCAGGCCCCAGGGACGGCTCAGACCCGCCAAGCCGCAGAGGTTGGGGATGGGGAGTCAGGACCCGAGAGGCTGGGGTAGTCAGGAGGCTGCTCCCACCCAGGGGGCAGCAGGAGGCTTGGAGGGAGCTTTGCTGGTGCTGATGGAGGGGACGGGTGGTGCTGCGCCCACTGAGCCCCCGTGCCCCAGTACTGCTGCGGGGGGTCCTGGTGCACCCCAGGGGTGGGGGGCTCCACTGGGCTCAGACAGCTTTGGGGTCTTTCCGCTCACCCAGCAGCCAGTATGTCCGCATCTTCCCCTTGCCCTGGGTGGGGAGAAATGGTCAGACCCCCTAGGACCGCTGTCCCCACAGTGCCATCCCCAGCACTGCATCCTCACCTTCATCTCCACATCTCCGCGCAGCTCCAGCTCAAAGCAGCCGAACTCATCCAGGACTTCTTTGGTGGTGGAGGAGACATGGATCTTCAGGGCTGGAGTGGAAAGGGACATGGATGGGGCTAGGAATTGAATGCACCTGTGGTGCTTAAGGCAGGGTTGGATACCGCCAGCCCTATGGCTCACCCTGTCCATTGGACTCCATGCGGGACGCCGTGTTCACTGTATCCCCAAACAGGCAGTACCGCGGCATCTTCAGCCCCACCACTCCTGCGCAGACAGGACCTGGAGGCACCGAGATGCTCAGGGATGGCAAAAGGGCAGAGAGCATCTCACCATTCCCAGCCCTATGGTGCAGCAGCCTCCCAACACCCTGGGGCTCACCGGTGTGAATGCCGATGCGCAGACGCAGTTGGTCATTAGGCCGGTGCCGGATTTTGAAAGTTTTGACAGCTTCCAGCAGGGCCAGGGCCATGCGGACAATCTCATGGGCGTGCAGCTTGCCGTTGCGCACTGGCAGCCCTGACACCACCATGTAGGCATCCCCAATGGTCTCCACCTGTGGTAGTGATGTCAGGGGGAGCAAGCACCCATTGGTACCCACCCTGGTACCCCATACCCCTTACCTTGTACACGTCGAAGTTGTCGATAATGGCATCAAAGCAGGTGTAGAGGTCGTTCAGCAGCGTCACCACCTGCAAGAAGCATAGTGGGGATGGTGGCAGCAGGGTGTCCCTGGCCCTGTGTATGGCACTGCAAGGCGTGGCGAGCTCCCAGCCCACCCCCAGCCTTGCTCCCACCTGCATTGGGGTGCTCTCGGCTGAGAGTGCAGTGAAGCCCACGATGTCGCTGAAGTAGATGGTGACACTGTCAAAAGCCTCAGCTCGCACTGTCTCCCCACGCTTCAGCTGCTCTGCCACAGAGCTGCCAAGGAAAGCAGGGACAGTGGGCGCTGGGGGTCCTCTCCTCAAATCACATACCCCCTCCTTCCCACTCCTTTCACCAGCACCAGCACAGGGAACAAGAAAGGACTCCTGCGCCCTAAGCCGCACTACAGCCCCAAGCCCCATGCTGCCCCCAGCCCCATGCAGCCCCCCTCACTGGGGCAGGATCTGGTAGAGGAGGTTCTCCGCCTTGCGCTTCTCCTCCAGGTAGGCTTGGGTCCGCTCCTCCACCAGCTTCTCCAAGTTGTTGGCATACTGCTCCATGCGTGACAGGAGATTGTCCAGGATGCTGGTGCTGCCCTCCCTGCAGGGATAGGGGCAGCTCGGCCATGGGGACATGGGGGACACACCCCTCGTGGCAATCCCCACACCCAGGTGGAGCTGGGACCGCTGTACCCCACTCCCCAGCACCCACTTGTTGAATCTGCGGATGAAGATCTTGATCTGGCTGAAGTCGGGGCGCTCAGCAGGCTCCTGCGCCCAGCAGCGCTCCATCAGCACGGCCAGCTCCTCACTGTGCACCCCAGTGTCAATGGAGGGCCGGAAGAAGGGCTTCTGGCTGTTGCGTACCTTCTGCACAATCTCTGTCCAGCAAGCAGGGGCTGATGGTGAGCAGATGCCCCAAAACCCACCCCATACTTTCCCGTCCTCCTCAAATCTCACCAACCTTTTGGGCTCAGGTCCATGCCCTCGATGTAGAAGGGGCCATTGCGCAGGGCAATCTCCTGCACAATGATGCCAAAGCTGTAGACATCAGCTTTCTGCATGCCCTGTGCAGGCAGATGCCCCTTCTGCAGCAGCTCTGGGGCTGTCCAAAGCTTCTCTGTAGGGACAGAGCCACAGTGCAGTGAGGTAAAGCCCCAATTCCCCTTCCACCCATGTCCCCATCCCCACAGTAAGTGCTCACTGGCATAAAGGGCATGTGTGTCCTCGCCATCGCAGGGTGTGCGGAAACTGGCCAGCCCATAGTCAGTGATCTTCAGCACAAAGCGGCTGTCCACCACGCAGTTGGAGGACTTGAGGCTGCCATGGTGCCCAATGATGCTGTTGTGCAGGAAGGCCATTCCCTGTGCCCGACAGAGAGACATCATGACACCAGCACCCTTCAGCATCCCCTTCGGGCCAAATGTGCCCCTTGCTCAGGTACCTTGACGATGTCATTGATGAGTGAGTAGCGAAACATCCAATCCAGGTTGATGCTCTCATTCTCCAAGATGTCCTGGAGAGGCACAGTGGGTGCAAGGACAGTGGCACCAGCATCACTTGTTGGCCACCCCATCCCCATCCTCACCTCCATCTCCATCCTCATCCCCACTCGCATCCCCATATCCCCACCCCAATCCCCATCTCCACCCCATCTTCACGCTCATCTCCATCTTCAATCACATCTCCATCCCCATTGCTTCACCCCTATCTCAATCTCTCTCCCCCTTCCCTTCCCACCTCCTCCACCCTCCCACGCCCCCCCACTACCTGCAGGCTGCCCCTTGGGCAATACTCAGTGACAATGCAGATGTTGGGAGGATCGATGCAAGCCCCAATGAAGCGTGTCAGGTGGTTGAACTGGATGTCCCGCATCTGGGGATGCAAGCAGAGCTTGGTGGGGACAGGCAGCACCTAGTTGCCCCACTACCACCAGGAGCAGATGCTGCACTCCAACAGGGCACAGACACAATCCCAGACCCCACACCTACATGTTTTAGCTCAAAGAGCACCTGTCGCGTCAACTCAATGCGCTTCTTGTTGACATGCTTGATGGCCACCACATTGCCCTGGGGACAACAGAGGGGTGAGTGCCTACCAGGCAGCTTTAGGGAGATGTGCTATCATCCCATAAGGGTGCAGACTGACCTTGAAGTGCCCGGTGTTGGCAAAGACCTGGTACTTGCCATGCGTGGTCATCAGTGAACCATAGCTGGAGCCACGCTGCAGGGAGGTTGCATTAGGGATGGGGACAGCAGGAGGGGTGATAGCACTCATGGAGCAGGGGAGGGGCAGGACAAGGTCTTGTCGGTAGGGTCAGCATGAAGTCTATAGGCTATGTGCTACAGGGCATGGGGGGCTGTGGAGATACAGCACTACAGGGGATGGAGGGTCACACAGGGGATGGATGGAGCATGGTGCTCCACAGGGACTCAAGGCTGTGGGGAAGGTGGAAAGGCATGGATGAAATGTGACTCTGAAGGGGATGGAGCACTCTGTAGGAAATAGATGAAGTGTGGCTCTACAGGAGATGCAGAGCTTTGCAGGGGATTGATGAACATAAGGAGTACAATATGACTCTGTAGGAGACATGGGGCTGTGCAGGAGGACAGGACAGGGACAGGAGAGGGGCAGAGGGCTGAGGTCTCACCAGGGACAGTGTGAGCCGGCTGCCTGCTCCCTTATGGTACCGCTCTGCACTCCCAAAGTGCAGTTCATCCCAGCGGATCCTCCACAGCATGCTGGCCAGCTCCTTCTCCAGCATCAGCTTCCTGAGGGGCACTGTGGGTCAGACAGCCTATCCCTATTACCCCCACCCTGCTGCCCCCCAACCTGCACCCACCTGAAGATGAGGAAGCTGGAAATGCCAAACATGACAAAGGTGAGCCCGGTGCCCAAAGCCACGATGGCCAATGTGGAGAGCGGGGCTGCCATGGTTTAGGGTTCAGGTTAGGGGGGCTGCTAGCACTGTTGTGGGGCTGTGCACCCCCAGGGAAGGATGGAGTGGGACAATCCATGCACCCACTTTTATCGCAGGAGGGGTCATCTACATCAAAGACACAGGGTGGGTTGTCCAAGGGGGGAGCCCCCTTCACCCAGCGGATGGGCCGCCCCAGCCAGCGGATCTGCTTCTCTGCACCCGAGTAGTGTCCCACCACCTGCAGGAAGACAGATGAGCCCAGACCCCCCCCCCCAG